GTAACTCAACATTTTCAACATAAAAATGTTATTAAAAATTTTTTGAATTTGAAATTTTATTGGCTTGACATTTATACGAATACTTGCTTTCCGTCAGCGGTCAGCGGTTCCGTGTGCTCCTGTATTACACACAGGAATCTTTCTCTTGAATCCACTGTATATTGACGAGCTGCATTAACAACCGTTGCGCAGTATAAAAGATCACAACGTCAGGAAAGTTTCTTTTATACTCTTACTACATATAGATGTTCTATTCACAAATTTTTGGATATTATTGTAAAAAGAGCTCCTATTAATTTTTTTTATACAAAATCAAGTAAAGCCATAGATGTAACGTTGTCATTGATGACACAAGGTAACGGTCAGTGTATACGTGTAACCCTGTACAGCGGCGGGCCTCACTTGGCGAGCGGCGAGGCGCGGCGGCCGGCCCCCTCCTCGTCGAGGGGCCGCTCGTCGAGGCCGCGCTGCACGCTCACGGGGCCCGGCGGCTCCGCGTGCAGCGCCTGCAGGTACTCCGGGGTGCGCAGCTCCTCTATCGTCGGCTTTCTGAACCTGCATCACGGGTATTAAACAAAGTCGCGTACATTGCTCACGATATAAAAATGTATTATACCTAGACTCGAGACATTGTAGATGAAATCATTTTCTATGCCGACCCGGGATCTCGGTTGGCCTTCTACAAAACTCGTAAAAGTAGTAAATACTTCTAGATACGATGAGACAAAATACCATATACCACCGGGATTGACGTAACAATGAGGCTCTCGGATTATAGAGAATAAACGGATATGAAAATAAACTTTTGGTCCATATTAATGAGATTTAAAACATAGACAAACATACCTATATATTTTTTTAATATAAGCAAAAGTCTGTTGTTTATATGCATTATGCATACAAAATTCATAACATACATTACGGTATGATATACTCACGTTTTGAGCAATAAACTTGAGCAGACGACGGAGACTGAACTCATAGCCATAGCGGCCGACGCCATCCAAGGCTGGAACGTTTCAAACGATATAAATAAACAAGGTTATTCGTAAAACACCACCGCCCTCCACAACTGAATAGGCGATATCATACATGAGGTATGATCATTTGATCTACAAGTTTTAACATAACGCAATACATTATACAACAGATATTTATATATATAAAGGAAAGGACGACGCTACACTCGTGCACTATGTGACGAAAATAAAATTTGCAAATTATTAAAACTTATGTCACACGTTGTCGTTTATGATAATGGACAAATGGTCACGTAAGAATATTGGTGTTTTACGAATAACCCTGTATACATAATAATAAGTATTGTAACACGTTATGCCGGCTACTTAAGAAATTGTCAGTTATGTATTACGGGGTGCGAGTGTGTAGTTACCCTCAGCTGCAGCCCGTAGGCCGCGAAGGCCCCGCTGGCGAGGGGGATGCCGAGCAGGTTGTACACGGACGCGAACAGGAAGTTGAGCCTGATGCGGCGCACCGTCGTGCGGGACAGTTCCAGGCACGCCACCACGTCCAGCAGATCGTTCTGGACGAGGGACAGTCATATTTCAATATATTATGAAATATGTTGGAAATTGTTATTTTATTTACGCAACATTAATTTGAAATTTATAATCTATGGTTTTTTATTTTTCATTTATTTACAATGGACTAATAAATTATAATAAACAGTTTTGCGTCTTTAAACCACAACGGTATGACTAGGCTCTGCACATTCGTTTAGGGCGCAGGTGCTCGCAATTTTTCAATCATACACCAATCATGGTATACGCTTATGACGTGACCGTGAGTTCACGGACGAACATGTTTACAAGATTACAAAAACCACGACGGTGCATTCTGTTACATCATATTTCAATAAACTAAATGTCACCTGATTGGTTGTTATCGTAGGATAATTTAAATCATTGAATAAAAATATGCTTTAACTTTATACTATGCCCCCCTCCGACACTATATATAATACGTACCCTCATGAGCACAAGATGCGCGGCCTCGACGGCCACATCGGTCCCGCTGGCTATCGCTATACCCACGTCTGCTTGCGCAAGCGCAGGGGAATCGTTCACGCCGTCCCCTACCTGAACCATACAATTAACATAAAAATTATATTAATCCATACCAAGGCATTAATAAGCCTGCATCTCGTTCACCTTTATCTAAAGAAAATTCCGTCTTCTACAAAAATTTTCTTTTCATGTTATTTCGTAATGAAATAAAAGAATTATTAAATTGTATTAAAATTATTTTAATAATATCATTGATACGACCGTTGATCTACCATGAAATATTAAAATCAAAGAATAAAAATTTACAATATTATTTGTATTATTTATATTTGATCCATTCGCATTCACAATGCAACACTGGAAAATATTCTTAATGAAAAATGTTTAAAAATCCACTTTGTCCATAGTTTTTTTTAAGAATATTTCTTTAAGAATATTATAAGTATTACTCACCATAGCAACTTTCTGTTTCTGTGCTTGCAGTTTCTGTATGATGGCCACTTTGTGGGAGGGAAGCACTTCCGCATATACTTTGGTTATCCCAACCTTTGGAATTAATATCACGATTGAAATATTAACATTATCTAATACTTCGAATAAACACAATAATAATAATAATAATATTCTTTATTCCAGTAAGCGCTTTTGAATCGAATATAATTTTTTTTTCCCTATCGTTCGTTCAGGACGTCCTTTAGCTGACAAGGAGAACAAGCAATAGAAACACCCAAAGCTATGTTCCAAAAATGCTCTTGCATTTTGAATATCAAAAACAATCACGCAGTCGCGGGAACATAAACACAGAAAAGCTAATTTTTTATACAGGGTTATTTATGAAATATCAGCTACCTATATAACTGTAAATAATAAAGTTCATTTTACTAGTTTAATCAGAAGTCAATACTATCATTGGGGAGATACTGACTTCTATAAAACAGGTAAAACTAGCTTAGAAGTCAGGGCCTCAAATATTTATGTAACTAGTATTAATACAAAATAAAGGAATTAATATTATTATTATCAGCAAAATATTAACCCTGTATATAACCAAAAAGATAACAACACGTTACAAACGGCATAAGCATCATCGACCATTATAACATACAATATACTTAATAAGGGACTCGACATAAAAATATAAATAAAAAAAAATGTTAAAAACATTAGTGGTGCGTGATTAAAAAGTTCATGTAGTTTAAAGATTATTCGATGAACGTTTTTGTTAATTAACAATTATTTCTTTTTTTAAATCAATCAATAGAAATGTAATTTTTTCAAATTTTTGTTGTCTGTGTCTCACCGTCAGACGCAACATTAATTAGACTATGTGACGTCATTTGTGGGTAAATTGATAGTATTTAGGATAAGCGCGGGAAACATTCGAAGCGTTTGATGATTTTAAGAAATTACTTGATTTTGAAGCAAGCGATAAGGGTCAATCTTCTGTTTTATTTATTCATGAGTTCTCATGCAAGTACTTTCCACTGAAAATCCCTTTCGTTTACCCCACAAATGGCGTCGCGGCCTCAGAGACGCCGTTTACGCGGTGTTCTTATAGGAAGTTTACTGGCAATTAACTACAAGCACCCACACCGGCTAAACAACAAGTAACGACCTGTCTCGCAATGGCGGCGGCCGTCTTCCTGTTGTCCCCGGTGAGCAGGCACACGCGCAGCCCCATGCGCTTGAGCCAGTACACCGCCAGGTGCGCCTCGGGCTTCACCTCGTCCGCCACGCCGATGCTGCACACCAGCTCGTCTGCACAACAAACGGAGAGATCGGTCCGCCTCTACAGGGGACAAGCTAGGCTAGGCAATATTATAAAGACTAGTGGTCACCCCAATTTGACCGGAATAAATTTCAATTAGAAGTTATTTAACATAATTTATTCTACGTCGAGGAATAATAAAAATTCCTTTATGAAATTACTGCAATCAAGAAGAGAAGAAGATTTGTTTAGCCTCCATAATAAAAAATACAAAATCTCTAAATCAGCAGTAACAGAACTTTCGTTAAATATAGAATGATAGCACATTTGTATATTGCATTGTACTTATCACTCAAAATTATTTATTTTTCCTGTAAGTATGTGAAATCACTAAAATCGAAAATATTTTGACATTCAGTAAGACGACAGAAAACGTAACAATGGTAAACATATAAAACTTGACACTGGCTAAATGCACAAACCGTACGAAGCCAATATTCAAAAGAAACAAACAAATTCTATGTCATAAGAAACAATTTGATCACAGAGTACATGTATGCGTGTAGGAAATGCATAGTAGGGTGTGTAATGTTTTATTTATCGATTTAATGTATTTTATAAGCATTATTATTGAAAAATATTAGCCGTTTTCACTTTTCCTACATATAAACTATAAGTGTGCCAAATTTCATACTCCTCCGTCCTCGCTATTTTCGTAAAAAGGGGTTCAAAGTTTTTGCTTCACGTATTAATATATAGATTCTAATTTAAAAATTCTTTCATTTAAGGAAAGCTACGCATACGCGGTGAACATATAAAGGGATGAAAGTGGGTGGGGGGGGGGGGGGCAGTTACCGTCGATGGCGACGAGCACGGCGGTGCGGCCGCGCGCCTCCTCGGCGGCGAGCGCGGCGGCCACGTGCGCGGGCACGCCCACGCCGTTGCGGCTCATCCACTCGCGGTTGCCCACCACCACCACGCGCTCCCGCCCCTCCTCCAGCTCCGCACCCGCCTCCGCCGCCGCCCTCTGCCGCGAACAATAGCCGTAGCATCAGTAATAGTTTTATGTGAACTAATAAGATATCTTCCTGCGCGCTTTCGACGGTGCCTCACCTCTGTATCGGTGGCGGTGTGCCCGTCGGTGTCTATGAGCGAGTGCAGCCGGTCGGCGACCCGCTTCGCCCCCGCGCCATCCGCCTCTGCCCCGCCCCCGCCTCCGCCCCCGTCCCCCCGCACCTGCACCACCACGCCGTGCAGCTCGAACGACGATCCCACCCTGTATGTACACGGCCCGGTATACACTTTGTACAATATATAAGATTATTTGCAGAACACCGCCGACGGCGCAGCACTAGACAGCTAGCATGGTAAATGACTACGTTCGTTCTTTCAGATTTCGTAATTCGTTACATATTATTTTTATAAAAATTAATTTACCGCTCGAATACTAATAACTCTACCCGTATCTCAGAACGAACGTATTTAGTTTATGAATAAAACACATGACGTATAAAAGATCACTTACGACGTTAAAAAAAAAATGTTTTTTTTTTTCATTCCAAATATTATGTATAATCGTAGATCAAGTGTGTGTTAAACCTACGCTTTCCAAATAAAAAGTATTGCAACACGAACAAGCAACAAATCAGTCACAGGGAGTTTTCTTAATTGGATACAATAGTATGTAAAATAATATCAAAATGTATTTTCTTTAAAGTCAAAAACGAATAATGAAACATGCTTTTATTAAAATTACAATATTTGACATGAAAATCAATTATCTTTTGATATAACGTGTCGCGACGTAAGTGGGACGCGATCGGGTCGTGGTTACCGTGCGTTGTTGAGCAGGTTGTGGATCGCGTCTGGGAGTCGAGGGGCGGGCGGGGCCCGAACGCGCGCGCGCAGGCCGCAGCCCGGCGCCGCCAGGAACCCCTCCACGCGCCCCACCGGGGCCCCCTCCAGCACTTGAGAGCACCACTTCACTATCGCTGCACGCAACACAGATTGTTACATATTTTAACAAGCTCTTGTTAGACAATATGCTACCAAAAGAAGTCGGAACGTATCAATCGAGTCATCGTCTTAATTTTCTTATTGTGAGAATAGCCAACTGCTTTTGAATTCAGAAAAGTGTTACACTATAACTTTTACTCGTAAACATAACCCAATAAAATATGATTATTCCTTCGTTCGATCTCTTTTAGAATATGCATGTGTCGTTTGGAACCCCCAATATGCTATTCACATTGCCCGAATAGAAAAAATACAAAATAAATTTTTGAAATCTTTAGATTATCGAACAGGACATTTCTTTGTTGACTATGAATCTGCATCTAAAAGGTATAATATTGATTCCTTACAAAATAGACGTGTTTATCTGGATGCAGTTTTCCTTTACAAAATAATAAACAATTATGCGGACTCATCTTCATTATTAAAATTAATAAATTTTAAAATCCCTAGTCTCCTCACGTTCTAAAAATATTTTTCATTGTTCACCCACTGCCACAAATCACGCTGGGAACACTTTTATAAGACGCTCCAGTAGATTTTACAATGACAATTTAAATGACGTTGACATTTTTTCGCTATCATTAAATCAATATAAACGAAAAGTGGGAGATATTATATTTAAATATGACTGATCAGAGTGAGTTTTTGAGATTGTTGTGGAGAAGCTGTTTGTTTGATGTGTAGGTTAAGTTTATTCGATGTCATCACCATTGTTAATAGTAAGCAATTAAATTAATTTTGTTAGTACTCGTATTTAGTAATGGAACTGTCAGGTCTATTAGTTACCTAAGTTTTGTTTGTATATCAATTGTAAACGACTGTTTGTTTCCTAAATAAATAAAAAAAAAATCATCTTCCGGTTTTCTTTTTAGACACTGAATATTATTTCGTACCAAAGGAGAACGAGCCCGTTTCGTTTAATGACTGAAGTGTTGCCGGTTCCTCTCGGAACGAGGTGTTGGCATTCACGAGTTCCCGGAACAGCTTCCACTGAATAAATGATATTGAATTTGAAGTCAAGGTGACCCCCGAGGTCGGCGACTGATATACGTGTGTTTGCCGGCGGCCAGCGGGTGTTGCAGCAGGGCGGGCAGCCTAAGCAGATGTGGAGGTACCTATAGAGGGTGTATAGTTTGCAGTTACCGGCGGCCAGCGGGTGCTCGGAGCTGAGCTCGGCGGCCAGCAGGTGCTGCAGCAGCGCGGGCAGCTGCGGGGGCGAGGCCGCGTGCAGCGCTAGATGGGCCACGGCCGCGCGGCCCTGGGTGATGGTGCCCGTCTTGTCGAATATCACCGTCTTCACCTGCACACCACACCACCACTATAGAAATTGGAACGATAGTCTATCGCGGGATCGATCCCGTGTATTTTGTTTTTGTTAAGATCCCGATATTTCGGCGCCGTTGCAAGCGCCACGATCATAGAGGCGATCCCGTAAATAACTATCGTTCTAATGATCATGAAAGCTTAAAAAATGTAATTATCCTAAGGACAGGATCTCAATTGTGTTCTATTTCATTGTATGTATGAGAAGTCGCATAAAACATAAGACAGAGACGGGGCCATACCTTGTGCGCGTTCTCGAGCGGCTCGGCGCCCTTGATGAGCAGCCCCCGGCGCGCGCCCACGCCCGTGGCCACCATCACGGCCGTGGGCGTGGCCAGCCCCAGCGCGCACGGGCACGCGATGGCCAGCACGGACAGCGCGAAGTGGAACGCCGTCTGCACGATCAGCTCCCACCGCGAGAACGAGTCCAGGTACGCGTCCTGCGCACACCACACCGCACACTCGCCCGGTTTAATACGGCACCCGGAGGCCTGTTTCGGCTATTTTGTGCGTCTTCCGAACGAACGCATTTCCGCTAAACCGCGACTTGACTGTGCTTATTGTCGACTCCCGGATTGTTTCTTATAATTCGATTTAAAATTTTCCAAATTTCCCTTCCACCGACTAAAGAATATTTCCTCAGACGTCATGTTAATTGATACGAATTATACGTATTTCTGCGAATCAACAATGTTCGCTATTATGTTCGCCAAGTAAATATTATAGAAGTTAGTTAAGAGTAAGCCTATATACAACCTCACACGCATATTCTTAAAATAGTTTGTTTAAAATAAAATATCGAAATAATTTAAACGACTTCTAATATAATTTTTTTATGGTCACCTGATGCCATTACAGCCGGACCACGCGGGCGAAGCCGCTAGCGAAATCTAGTTATAAATAAAACACACACCGGTGTGATGTTCTTGATGTTTTGTATGTTGATAGCGCCGCTTATCATCCAGCATACGAGGGTCAGCAGCGACAGGAACATCACTATAGGCACGAAGTATCTGAAGCAAAACGATACGACTCAACAATAGTAAGGAATGTGATTTTTTTTATTAATTAATTTAATTAAAAAGAATTTTTTTTAAGTACAATTGAAAACATTGAACAAAGAATCATGTTCAATTTTGACCTACAAATTTACTAACGCATCTAGTGAGATATCAGAATGTAGCTTATTTTTTATTAATTTCACATCAGCCGTGCGATTCGCGCACATTCTTGTCGTAGCTACGTGATCCACTTTTCATCATCAGTTATGCAGCTTCTTCAAAAATGGTTCGGTTTCATTACGCCGTAATAAAGAATCACAAATGAGTACACGGTTCATTAGGTTTCTTTTAGTGAGCTCGTGAGGTTCAAATGCAAATATCCAACTTTTTGTGTACCCATCTTTTTGCAAGTGCTGTTTTGTGATCGATCCCCATTTCTTCAGCGGCGTCGCAACTACTGATATGCCGATCTTGCTCCGCTTTTTCATAAATAGCATCCATTTTATCCACAACAGGGCGACCGGAGCGACGTGCGTCTTTGACATCAAAATTTCCGGACCGAAAACGCTTAAACCAAATTCGTGCCACTCTCACAAAAAAACTGCGCTAGGTCCATAATTTTTTTTTCGCGGCTTGCGTTACATTTGTCCCCAACCTAATATATAACATTTGCTTACCCGGCGATGGTGTCAGCGAGCCGCTGAACGGGGGCCTTACTGCTCTGGGCGTCCTCCACCAGTCGCACTATCTGCGCCAGAGTGGACGCCTCGCCGGTGTGGGTGGCCCTCATCAGTAACGAGCCGTGCTGGTTAATGCTGCCGCCTATCACCAGCGAATCTGTATATATAAAAATAAGCTTTTAATCTCTGCATAAGGTTGAATGATAAATAGAAAACAAGAAAACTATACAGATATATAGTTATCAGACAACATCTTATACCGTTTACGTGTTATGGAAATCTGAAACATTGGAGGTGTCGGTAAACGATACATTAGATTATGCTGAGCGGACAAATTTACGAGTCTATTTTATGATATTGTAACACTGACCTACAGTCTTGGCGACGGGCATGGACTCCCCGGTGATGAGGGACTCGTCACAAGTGCTCTGTCCCGATATCACCTTACCGTCCACTGGGATCTTAGCGCCCGGCACTATCTGACGATAAAAAATATAAAAACACACCTTATCAAACATTTACGCTAGTAAAAATTAATCGTTACATATCTCGTTAAAAGTAAAATACCATATTTTTGAATAGTTGATTTTCGACTAAATATTTTTGCACGATTCCGCCTGCGTAAATCACAGCCTATCCCAGTGTACAATGTAGGTTTCTGTGGATGAGCGAATTTCCAAGATCGGATTAGTGATTTCTATGATTATCTACCCCTTACCAACAAACAATGTTACAAAATATACTTTAAAGTATTGTTTTAAAGCCTAAAATTGGAAAATAATAATATTTTTTTTTCCACACCCGGAAAAACAAAGACCAATGTTTAAATAACATTGTTTTGGTAAATAAAATAAATTAAGTACATATACATAACAAAAATTAAGTAGATATAATAAACATTTTAAATTGTTGATGTGCATGAACCGTCCTCCCCTATCCGATCTGGCTAATCGTTCCCCTTCACGGAGTCAGCTGTATTCAAAACCGATGAGCCGAACCCCCCGGGGTCAACGGTTAACATCTCGATGTCTCCCCCCCCCCTATTCAGGGCACTCAACCAACAGTAGGTATCCTCACCCGGAGCACGTCCCCGCGCTGCACCAGGTCGGTGGCGATGCAGCGCTCGCGCAGCACGTTGTGCGCCGCGTCCAGCTCCACCAGCACCGCCTCCGCCGCCTTCAGCGACAGCAGCTTCGACAGCGCCTCCGACGTCTTGCCCTGCCGATTGCCGACCGATACATTGTTACTCATCCATTCGGAGTACGATTCTCTATATAAACACTAACGGTCCGGTGTCGACCTTGGCGATGTGCTCCAGCCAGCGGCCGAGGGACACGAACACGAGGAGCATGGGGGGCGTGTCGAAGAACGTCATGGGACTGGTCTCCTGCTGCAGCGCCATGGCGGCTATCACCACCGCCAGCGAGTACGCGTAGCTGTATAACATATGAAGCACACACATCACACACTCATCTATTGTAACTCAGTAATGATATTTCGGCTGCTCGTTTCTAGATGGCGGGAAAGGGACAGTCATTGGGAAAGAAAGAGAAGGGTAGCCGTTCTAAAACTTTTCGGTAACGCCACGAATACACCCGGAGGACCGATCGAGCCAATCTAGAATGTTCCAAGTCCTAACCTGACCTATGCCAAATCAATCAAAAAAGAACAGTGCCATTTTACGATCTCGCATACATAAACAGGTCACACCCCACTACGATCTCGCATACAGGTCACACCTTACATATCACGTGACCCACAGAGCGTCTTTCATATCACACGATACACAGACAAAAATCCCCGATTTATAAGATAATCATGTGATTTCGTGACTCAAAACCAGAATAATATCTATAGTTATCTAAACGTTAGTTTTGTAGTTTTTGTTGAATTTCAACTTATTTTTATTTACCGGAATCATCATCTCTATGTACAAAATGAAGGCTTTCTAACTAAATATCTTACTTTTTATTTCTGGAATTCTTCTTCAAAAGCATTTTTAAGAAGAATTAACTAATTCCCGTTAGTGTTAATATATTGTACGAGTCATCGTACTCATTTTATATTAATTGCGTCAGCTATTGTAATTTTGTTAATAATACAATCAAATCAGTGCTCATTACGCATTCGGCTGAATCGGTTGTTATCATTTTTAACCCTTTCGTCTATCATCTATATCATCGTATTATCAGTAAATAGCAATATCTTATCAATTATCATTTTAATGTAGTTTACCCCTACATATATAGATAACAGATAATAAACAGAATATAAATTTTTAATACCATTCTCACCTTATAGTAGTGGTGAGTGATATGAGCACGTCCATATTGGTAGTTCCGTGTTTCACAGCTTTATACGCCTGCTTGTAGAAATGCCAACCGCCTATAAACTAAAATAAAAAAAGTTTCCAAAACGATATATTACTATATTCACATTATACAATTAAATATTAATATCATGAATTTTTATCATTGAAATATATTAACATTGTAAATTATACAGATTAATGATTATAATATAATTTATTATTAATGTACATAAAAAGCATTCATGTTTAATAAAGTAAACCTTGAGCATTTCTTGTAAATAAAAATATATTAAATAATTTTTCTACAATATAACTTCATTATTAAATTTAAATTGTATCTGGAAAATACGTGTCCTATAAAGAGTTGTCGAAATTATAATAAATAAGATGGGTTTCGTTTTATTCTCTACTTCTAGGATATGATAAAGAGGAAAGATATGATCAATTGTATTTTTTTCTATCTACATCTTTGCATCTAATATTCTTTGTTTGTTTGTAACAGACAGCTCTAAAACCACTGAACGAAACCTTTTAAAAATCTTTTTCACCAATACAAAATTGAAATATGAATTATCACCTAGTAGCAATGTCGTTAGGATCAAACGGTAGGTGGTACGTACCTGCACGGGCGTGGCCAGCAGGAACATGATGAGGTTCTCCAGACTGAGGCCGGGCAGCACGGCCACCATGTGGTGCGCGTGCGACATCGCCACCATGAAGTACGCCATCGCCGCCATGCACGGCCCGCCGAACAGTAACGATATCAGGAACGCCGTCCGCCATTTCTTTATCTCCTCTCTGCGGGCACACACGAAGCGATACCAATCGGACAGCAATGAAATAAAATAATTAATCGTGCGTGGTTATGTTCTTAAAGTTTAAAGATTATTATTTATATTTCCAAATCGATTAAATAAAACATAATATTTCAATATTTGTAGTATGTGCCTCACGTGATACAAAACACCAATCAGAGCCCATGACGTCATTTGTGGGTTAATTGGTAGTAAAATTATCTAGGAAAAGCGCGGGAAACATTAAATGTGCAAAATAATTTCAATCTATTTCTCTTATTATTTTAAACAGGTTGCAAGGGTCAACAGGTTTATATATTTGTGAGTTTAAATAAAAGTATCACAAACGATCACTGTAAATCCCCTTTGTTTACCCCACAAATGACGTCACGTCCTCCGAGTCGCCGTTTACTCGGTTTTTTAAACAGTTAAATTTTTAACTTTGTTTCGGGTGCATAATAAGGTTTATTTACATCAAATATGAATCCGATCCCCCATTATGGAACAGAATAATAAGTCTAACCTTCATAACCTTCGACAGAGGCTAAGCTACCTTTGCAGTGACCAGTCACGGGTAGGATTATCAAAACTTTAACTTTATCGCATCGGTCGAGATCTATGCAACTAAGTTAATGACTTGGAGAAGTTATTAGTACTTAACGATCGGTTATGGTTCATGCTCCCTGACAGATTCCATTCATAAAGAACGTCTATGCGTAGTCAATGAATTTAATTCTTTTGCATATAATAGCTTCATAAAAACATATCCAGCATTATTACAAATTCGAAGAATGTCTTTGATCAAATTCTAGGATAATTCCCAGGTGCCGTGTATAATAATGTATATAGTATAATGTATTTACAACTCACTTGTGTTCTAAATAGTGCGTTTCTCCCTTGTTCTGCGGTCCTAGTACCGCCGTCTCGAACCCGAGCGAGCTGATCGCTTCACATATAGTGCGGGGACCGATCTGCTCCGCGTTATATTTTATTTTACCCCTGCAAATATGTTCATCGATTAAATATATATCTTATAGTTATTGCTTTGACTATAGCTTTGTGTCGACTCAATTAATTACACCAGGTGACTTTTTTCATACATTTTTTTATTATTTATTCAATTCTTCATCTACAAAACATGTACATTGGCGAAACCAATGATTTAGATATTCTCTCCCAGTCAACCTCAGAGTGCTATGGGGAAGCCAGTGGTAGTAGGATGCACAATAAAAAAGTCCACATATTTTTTTCTTACATTTGAATATTTGTACATGTTAATAGACATTTAGGTTTTAACTCTGATCCCTAAAATATTTTTTTTTACTCCTATCATTTGCTGAAATATAAACATTCATATGTGTATACCTAACCTAAGGTATGAGTACTAGAAAATAAAGAAATAACAAAAAAAAAACATTTCTAGTACAGAAAAACGAAAAGTCAATTCAAAATATTCTCTTTGCCAAACGATTCTACGTCTCACTACCGAGTTCGACCACCCTGTATATTATGTTTACCTGGAGGTTGTAAGGGCGACGGCACACGACGTCACTCCGGTCAATTTAAGTACAGTCTTCTCAATTTTATTTACACACGACGCACATGTCATACCTTTTATCTGTAAATTATGATAAAAGTTTTTTTTTTATTATGATCGCGGATATCAAAATTAATATAAGAATTCTATATGAAATGAATGCCTAAGCTATTGATGTCAGATCACTCATATATAGGGGATTATCTGTAAAACAAGACTAAATAACTAACGTTATAAACATAATATCTACAAGCTGTGACATAACCAGAGGTCGGAATAAGGCAGAGTTATTTATGTACTTGCATCGAAATGTTGATATTAATGTGGACCTTCCCGGGATTTAGATAGTTTGAATGCGGTAGAAAGAGACACAATCTAGTACATTACGTTAAGTGGGGAGTGCTCCGCATTTGCGCTATTGTATTCTTTTGTTCTCACAAGCTATGTTGTGCGAACTACAAATGTGGCAACATCGCGCGTATTGGTATTTTGCAACTTTGGACATCCAATGTCATTGATGTAAGTTTGGCAACGTCGTGCGTGCAGTAGTTTAAATTGTGTAAAAGTAAATAACTTTTTATTTAAATAATCACGGTATTTTTTTCTGCTCTTTAAAATTAATCTCGGGATTTGAGTCATATCCACTTTATTCTTTCATTGTATGAAATCAGTGTAAGTACATTAATAACTCTACCTAATTCCGACCACTGGACATAACTCAAAGCACTGAAAAAAATATCAACTTTTTATTAGTACTGTCAAAAAAAAAGAAAGTAAACTTCCTCCGATGTTCGGTTCTCTTCTGGTGTACAAATAAACTCGATGGCAACTCACTGTAACTTGCAGCTCCTTAAGTCCGCTGCCGTCACAGTCGCTTATCACTTGCGAGGGGAAACCCAACTCGGTGATAGAATCGGCTATGTCCTGAGCGGATATCTTCCGCGGCTCGTACCGGACCTCCGCCTTGGCCGCTAGTAAAGCTATCAGTATCGACCGGACGCCTGCAATCATTTATAAATATTTACTGTATTTATTAAATTATATTGATCTAGTAAAAGGTAATTCGTGAAGAGAGCAATCAATTTTGAACTTAAGTATTAACAAATAAAGGCTTAAAATAGATTTATTTCTGAAGTCTATATTAAATTCGTAGTGAATTTATCTGTATATAATAATAATAATAAAATCAACGACACCTGAAATTAATATCAATTAAAATACAATCAACATATTACATAAAGCCGCCATCCGCATAGTCAAAGTTCATGCAGCGTGAAACTTTAACAGTGGCCGGTATTACGGAAAACTAATCAGCTTCAAGCTGATAAATCACAAGGGAAGAATAATAATAGTAATGCTAATATTGGTGTGTGACCGTATATCTTGGCGCAGTGTTTCTCTATGGCGGCCACGCACGACGCGCACGTCATGCCGCGCACCTCCAGCGTGCACCGCGACTCCTCCCCCGCGCCCGCCCCCACCCCCGCCCCCGCGGCGCCCTGCACAATACAGAGTGACGGTCTAAACAGTACACTATTTTCTTGTCACAATTTAGTACGGTTAACAGAACACATTTTTAGTCAGTCAAAACTTCAAAAAAATCTTCATACCATTATTTTCATATTTATACACGTTCTAATTACTATTAAAACTGCAGGGATAAAGAATGTCGGTTATTAACCTCCGGACACGGTATAGTTAGCTTTGCTCCTTATTTTTTATTTGTCTCCAATGTAAATAGATAAAAAATTTATAAATAACACAGTATTAAATTTATGCACTGATTTCAAGTTTTCCCATGATACAACATACAAGAATCACTGATATAATAAAACTAAGCGAAATTAAAAAGGGATAAAAAAAAGAAAAGAAACACTACATTATATTTCACTATATTTTTTATTGTTCAGCTTTTAAGCAGAACGTGTTTGTTTTTAAGCATAATAGTTAATATTCAATGATGAAATATTACACTTGTGTGAGATGTAAAACATCGTAAACATAACAACAGTACAAGTCAAAGTTACTTACGTTAACTTTTTTACTTTCCACCGAATTTGATTTGCGCACATCTCCTGAACCGCCTTCACTTTTACTCTGAGATGACGGTTCTGAAATAAGTTATTATATTCGATCAATTTTGCATTATAAGTCCTTTACTGGTACCAATTGGCTGCGACGCCTAAATGGTAGGTATGTCTCACCGTACGTCTGCCCATCCACCAGCAGTATGTTGACGTCGAAGCCCAGGTTGTAGGCCACGTCGGCCACCTGCCGCGGCGACACCCGCCCCCGCGCGCACCTCACCACCGCGCGCCCCCCCGCCAGGTCCACGGACGCCTGGACCACACCTGGAGTCTCGTGCAATGCCCCTGCATTCGATATTTAAATAAATGTCACACGGCATCACATATACACGCTCAGATAAACTTGCTAAAAATAAGCTCTGAAATTATAATGAAAAAATTTTTTTATAAGAATTTTCTTGTATGTTACATTGTGATTCACTTAAAATAGCCCCTTATCTCAGATAGGGTCACGTTTCAATTGCTTGTGTCACTTTTTTTACTGTAAATCTGTTTCGTCTATTATTAAAGTGTATTCCACACGGTCGCCAACCAGCACTCCATCGAAGGTGACCTTGGCGGTAACTTGGTTTTCACGGATTGTGATAGTTCGTGATAGTGGTCCATTAACTTTTTTTTTATGACGACCAAATATACAGACATTATTGAAGCCCGCGTCCCTGAGGTATTTAATTTATCGGTGGTAATATATATCATTAACGGTAATAATAATTAATAAACTTAAACTCCGTGCTTCGATTACAATATCTTTGGACCAGACTCAGTGGATCGTAAATTTTGTATAATCCCTATGGGCTATTAGGCCTAAAACCGATTATATGCTCTCCCATCGGCGCAGTGTCTGACTGAAACCTAAGACCCTCGTTAAAAAAATCTCTTTTTAACTCATTATTTCACATCTGGACGATTTCTTTTATTTATTTTTTTATTAAATTTGTTCTATATTAAGTTTTTTGTTATCCCCACAGAATAGTTAATTTACTCTTTTTGATAGAGGGTGTTTCATTATCCTTCGATTAAGAACTAGTCTAGATAGTTTGGAACCTACAAGGTCACCTCTGTTCTGTAGCTGGTTTGGAACCGTGTGGATCATACTTAAGACACAATCTTTGTTGATATTGATCAACAAACTGTTCTTCTTGTAATATTTATTTATTTATACCTTCTATTGTGTTGACACACGACTGGCACGTCATGCCGGTCACTTGTAACAACACTTCGCACTCGTCCCCACCGCACGCCGGGGACATATCTATCAAGAGATCCGTAGGTATACTCCGGGGCAATAGGTTTCTGCAACAAAGTATATTAATACCAACTAGAAGAGATATCGTCATCACCATAAGTCTTAAAATGTCCCCATTTCTGAGGCACAGGCTTTCCCCATGAATGCCGTTGGTCCAATACGGATTGATGGGTGTTAACGACTACAGATGCAGCTAGCACAACCAACCTCCGAGCAGGAGGAGGAGTTCGATATAATAAAGTTTTTTATTCACTCATAACCAGCTTGTTTCAGAAGTACCCCGAACACGCTAACCACTGCGTTGTCGAGCGCCTTGAGATCATAAAAGCTTACAACAATCGGACAATCTAACTAATATCATTAACCACGTTAAATTGTCTTCGAATTGGTTGATATTGATCTCGATGAAAATGTATTGATTGTTAGATCAATACATCTACACTTTTATCTCCCGTTTCAACCCCAACGAACTTATTTTTCCCGATAAATGGTAACTTATGTCTTTTCTCAATGTCAACTCTATCTCTCTACAAAATTTCATACATTAGTTCTGTTGTTTAGACGCACAGAGATAATTTCGCATTTAGGGATTTTTACAATTCCAACAACATTACCTACATACGGATCAAATTGATAATATGCTTTTTTGAAGTCTATTAAAAATAAAAATAAGTCTAACTTTGTTTCGTCGTCTACGTTGTCAGGCGGGACGTCGAACCCCATGTCTTCTATGTGAGATCTGATGGCTTCCACCGAGCACACGCGCGGATCATATCTGAAGTAGCCGGCGTGTTCTGATAACTCCACCTGATCACAAACAATATATTTATCTATGTTTTCTATTGCTGGGCAGTACCGCAAATGACCAGTGTTTATTATTTGAAAAATGTCAGAGCTCTACGCTAGTATCTAATATGCAAAATCTTCACACATGACCGAAGCGTTTTTTTGTGTCAACTATGAATTTCACAGATGATGTATTTCTGTTGCCACTAAATAACAAAATACTAAAAAAAAAAAAAAACAGAACGGTATACATATTTAAGTGAGCTCCCGTACAACAAACGTGTATTTTGCTCGTTACCGGTACGGAAACCTACGTGCGCGAGTCCGACTCGCACTTGACTAATTTTGATTACAGTATTGAATGATAGTTAGTTAAACTGGGAGTCCTGCGGGGTTTCTGGTATTTTACAAATAACCCTGTATAAAAAGTATATACATTTTGTTTGTTAATGTATAGACCGACCTTAACGTGGTGCACGCCCGGCAGCTCACTGACAGATCCCTCTATGGAGCGCACACAGGACTGGCATGTCATACCATTGATCGATACTCTGACCGACACTAGGTCGCGGCTCGCCTCCCTGTCAACAAAATCATACATAAACATTTAAATAAAGGTTTCCATCCACTACACAGTATCATACCGCGACAGGAACGTGCCAGTCAAAAATAAGATACTTAATGCTGTTAAAAAAATATATTTGACATTTTAAACAATTTAATTCTAAACTAAAATAAATTACATGTTAGTTTAGAACATCACTAACAATAAGTACGGCAAAAAGCTTTTTTTATATCTAAAGATTGCATGATTTGCATCTAAATCAATGCAAAGATCCAAATCATTTTTTGTGCCTATTTTGACATTTAATTTCATATTTTAATTTAATTTTATTTGTTATTATTGTCGACATACTTAATGATTTTAATTAATTAATTTATAATTGCTTTTTTACACTTAATTCTACAGTCAAAACGGTGGTCGATGCAAAAATATTGACGCAATCGGAAACGAATTGATAAGATAATAATACCACTACTACATACTTATTAAGGGGGTATTAATATTCTACGTCACACGTATCTGCTAATGTCACACTACACACTACACACTACGTCAACAATATATCAATGCCCAATTATTATGTTTTCTTTATCTTGTTCAGGACGCGTTTAGTGCGACATTCATTAATTATCATTATCAACTTTCAACTGGTTTTGTATAAAGAAATGACATCCAATTACGCTGGTTATGAGGAACTATATTAAGGGAAAAAAAAAATAAAGCATAAAAAAAGCACCTCACTAGATGGCTACTGTACTAAAAGTTGATTTTTGCAAGAAACGAATGGACCAAAGATAGTCATTTTCGTTCCTTTTAACTAACACATTAAAAAACTGCAATTCGCAAAGTTCGAAACTTAGATAAGTATCAACACAAATACGAAAAAGTACAAATAGATTTTGAAAATTAATTTACTTTTTTACATGAAAGAAAACTGGAAGAGTTGTCATGGAGAAATCAAGGAAGTACCGTAGCGACATCTAGTTTTATAAAAAAACCAAATACGTTTTTAACAGATATCACCTTAATATTAAGATGATATGGTCCATTTCAGCTAAAAAACAAAGCTTACGTATTTAGTATTCTAAAACTTTCTCTATGTTAAATATTTTTATTTACATAGATATTTAATATTTTTGTGTTACCTATTATATAAATAATATCAATATTTAAAGCATGAAAGAAAAAACTTTTTATAAAAAGTAGAACTGACTTGAAACTTTAAAAAGTGATAAATAATTGGCTTATCTCAAAAGCGACTTATTACAAAAAAACGCCATTGAAGCCGGGCGCCTGTCATTTAATTAATTACCCACAGAAAACCCTTGCACAACTACAATAGCATTTTATTTTTTAAAGTTTGAAGTCGGTTCTAATATTTATACTTTTAAAGTTTTCATTTAATGCTTTTTTTTGCCCTACAGGATCATATAATGAGCTATATTATTGTAACATCTATTTTACATATATCTTTGAATACTGAGTACCGAGTGTTGGTAGCTCCTTAACCAACGACCTTAACATTAATTATTGAATTGTTTACATTCCCATTTCCGCAACTGTTATAGAACACAAACACATAATAGATGGTGTCGAATAAATTGATTGATTTCTCTGCTAATCGAAATCGACAATACTAATCATACAAATGGAAATTCAACTTGTAATAATAAGTTGTTATAAAAAATCAGTTCATCTAAAACAGGGACTCCCAAACTACTGAATGTCGACTTCTTGGCGTCGGAACCGGATATCAACTAATAACTGATTTTGGAGGTCAAAGAAATAATAATCAATAAAAAAGAGATCAAAATTATTTAACGGGATAACACAAGGATAACTGAAACTTTCAAGACACCGTATATATACCTAAGTTGTGACAATGAACTTGGTATTTTAGAAGGAAATATTATCTATCAAAAACTCCTTAAGTCAACCCAAAGTTTTTAAACTATTAATGCACCTATTTTGTATCAATAGCAAAAAAAAAAAAAAAGATAAGAGAGAATTAGCTGCGGGGTAAAAGTAATTAAGCCGTTGATTTTGTAATAGGTGTCTTTCGTCCAAAATAATTTGGGAATCCTTGATCTAAAATAATGTTATAACGAGAATTGTTCTTAAAGAGAGAATTATATTTGAAAACATTTACTCACTCAATTCACCGAAGAGCAAAACCAGTGTTCCAAATTGAACAGCTTCATGAATGTCACCGAAGACCAGATCACAGATACATGCGTCCAAATACGTGACAGTACGTTTGCGCCAAATTAAAAAACCAACTTCACGTTTATCGTTAGCAGTGTTGTCGACAGAGTCGGTTTTGTCGTCGATATGGCTAACCACATGAATGCAAAGTACCGTGTGCATTGTTCGCACGACACGAATCGGTTAGCGTGCGCGAATGATGCTGCTGTGTGTGATATGGTGTGATGGTACGCGTGCAAACCGTGTGTCATCAATATTATATAAATAGTTCTCTTTACCCCGACTTCACTCGCGTAAATTAAAGCCTAAAGCGCCCGCGTATGATGTAACTTCTTGTAGGTGAAACAATTTTCATAATTGGATCAGTATTTCTGAAGATTACTCCGTACAATCAAACAAAGAAACAAAGTTTGAGTTAGATGCTTTACTTCTTTATATATTAGTATAGATTATATTTGGGTATATTTAAAAAAAAAAATTATGTACTTAAACATATTTTTGTAGTTATATTTTAGCAGTGATTTAAATGATATTTTATGAAAAATAAGCGTTAAAAATTGTGGCGGTCGGAGCAAGTAAAAAATTCATGCATTTTTATACCTTTATTAAAAGTTTTTTTTTTAATAAAATATACATAATCTGTTATAATTAAGTAGATTAAATGTTATCCTGCCTTGAAAACATCAACGTTTCCATTCATATGGTTATTTCTGACATCATTATGTATGATGCATCGCTGGGACCCCTTATATGTACCTAAATTGTTTTGCTTCCCCTTCTTTAGAAATGTTTTTATCTATAAACTTTTTTCTTTTCTCATTTTCTACTCCGATCAAGACAAAAGAACCATCATCATCATCAACAGTAATGTTAGTTCTCCTACAGATCTCTTCATTCCTAATAAGATCATGTAGCGAAAGACCAAACAATGCCCTCTCCTTTGCCCCCTGGGTGACCTTCAGTCCTCTTATAGTACTCATTGTGAACAATCACGTTTAGATTCCGTAAATGACGTTTAGACATTAACAGGTCGAAAACATTCGTCTTGATAATTGATGATTTTCGTTTTAAAAATGTTCCTCTTAAGACCCACTCTTTGGGACGCAGTACTGAGATCAGGTAGCTCGGTGGCGTAGCCGATGAGCGCCGCGGCCCGCGATCGTTGTCGTTAAGCAATTTTCTAAAGGGACGGTCACGGGATGGATGACCAAAAGATTATTATCTCAAGCTACTCCGTGCTTCAGAAGGATGATGATGATGACTGAGATCAGATCTCTGTTATCATTCGTGGATGAGTAAAAAAAAAAACAACACTCGATACGAACTTATCATAGCCTTTTATGATTTTGAATACCGAGTGCAAGCGCCCGCTTGCACCGGAGTTATCTCTCTTTGCTTTAATACGAATAATTGCAATGTGCATAACTAATTAGGCATTGTGTAAGTTTATGAGTGTTACGATTTCACGCTCAGTTGAAAACTTAGTTGCAAAGAAATATTCAAGTGAGAAATTAACTACTCTCTTAAAATTACGAACGCGTTTGCGAAGTAATCGTAGGTATAAACCTTTTCAATATTCCAAAGAATGTTTGTCACTTTTAGGTTTAAGAAAGAATAAGAAAGTTAATACAGATCTCTGGCCCTGATGCAAATCAATAAAATTACTTTAGCTGTAACAATGCACAAACTGCTACAAAAGCTGCAAGGTCAAACGATATGCCTCTAACCGTTTTCAATAGTATCAATACTAGTGATGAAAGAGACTCAGGCTTTTTTTAAAGACTCGCCTTATTTTTGACGCCTCACGACTGACTCAGTCTTTTAGTCCCCAACCTTTAGTCTTAAGACTAGTCTCATTAGTCGAAGTCTTTTAACTTAAAACGCTCAGCAGTTACTTAAACAGCTTAAAAGACTGGCGACTCATCGCCTGAGGAGTCGAGAGTCGTAAGCCGGTTCATTATCCATTTGCATAAAAAATATTTTTTTAATTTAACATTTTTAAATTTTTAATAATTTTTTAATTTAATAAACCGTAACCGTAACAGATGTCTTTATTTATCCATAATAAACCCTGATTATTATCTAATATGTAGGACATAGTTTTTTTTCCATATATTAGGAAAACGATTTTATTGAAAACTAAACGCTTTACTCGAACGCCAGCTCTCTCGAATAAAAACACGTAGTCGTTTTAGGCATTTAAGTTGTTTAAGCGCAACTAGTCTTATACTTTATCTGACTGAGACGTATTATTTAAGACTAACGGCTAAAGTCTTAATTTTAAAGCAAAGTCGTGTAAAAAGAGGCGAGTTTTATCTTAAACGACTTAAAGGACTGAGTCTCTTTCATCACTAATCAATACCAATGCTTCAAGATATGTAGTATAAAAAATATTATATGAAATTAACGAGATTAATGATTACCAAATAAGAAAGTCAGTACTATACTATTAACTTACTTGCTATAACGTCATTCGGAAAAATGTCTATTGAACATTTCAATGTAGTCCAATCACTATGAAAAACTAAATCGAACTGACAGCTGAAAGACCAATGGAATACAAACGCGGGAATCGATTCAATATGGTGGACTGTGTTTATTAAAACATGATGAACTTAGATCTAACAACTTACTATTGTGAGGTATTGTTTGTTTTAAAGTTATAATTAAAACATATTATTATCATAACAACTTTGTTTGGATATTATTAGTAGTATTTTCTAAACTTAATGTAGGTAAGCGAATAATATTGAAGGAATTTATTTCTTACTAGCTGTTTTCCCACGACTTTGGTCGCGTAAATTATAGCTTACTAGCTTTCCGCCGGCGGCTTCGCCCGCGTGGTCTTGTATTATACATAAAAATCTTCCTTTTTAATTTTGATGCGAGTTTTTTTCATAGATACCCTATCTATGAAAAAATATCAAAATCCGTTGCGTACTTTTAAAGATAAAGCGGGATACAGGGACAGAAAAAGCGACTTTGTTTTATACTATGTAGTGACACTCGCATACGAGTTTTAAAATTTGGGCAGCAGTTTAA